ATGACACGATATGAAGTATATGATCTCAAATAAATAATAAGAAAAAATGCAAACAATTAATTGGCTGATGAATTAAGCATTTTATTCAATTCATTAATATGGATAAAACGAATACATTAATTTTGCCTAAAATATTATTTTATATTTTATTAATACAAAACTTGTTAGAAGAGTCTAGTATTTATAAGGGTGCATGCTAAAGCTTAGAAATACCATAAAAATGGAAATAAGATAAAAAAAAAAAAAATCACGTAAAATAAAGGAAACAATATTTTTCTAATAAAAACACGTGGATAGAAGGAAAAAAAAAAAAACATTCTCAAAAATCCAATCTAATTTGAGTTTAAAAAAACCCCAACAAAATGATGCTAAAGTGAGTGAGAAATTGAAGTTCAAAGTGTACCATTGCCATTGGTTTAGGTGTTGAGGGAAAGCAAAATTTTAGCCTGTCAAACAAATGGAAAATGATAAAGCAATGACTAATTTATATATGACCATATTTTATGAAAGTGTATACTTGTGTAAAAGAAAGGTTATCTCCACGTGCGCGTGCTGAGAGTGCGAGCACATCTGTAGAAACTTGGTGTTCAATTTATATGAGATTTTTCACTATATCCTAAGGGACAAACGCTCAATTTCCTATTTGTTCTTACAAAAGTAGCTTAGACTGGTCTACGATATTTTCTTGCCAGGCAAGATTTAAAAATTATAAAGTTTGATTACTCTAATGATGTTTTGCACTTTCCCTTCCCTTTTGGTTAAGCTGTGGAATTCTTTTTTGAGTTGGGTACAACTGTGTTCTATTATTTGCTTATAAAATCGAAGAAGAGTGGGTAAGGAATCAGAGTTTTTCCTTCTCTATGTTTACTTGATATAAAGCTTTGCTTGCACTTTCTCAATAGAAAGGTTGGTATCACCAAATTTCAGCTGGCTTGACATCGTCTTTATTAGTATGTTTGTAATCTTATTTATATCATGTCTATAAAACTCCAAGATTGCAACAAAATTATGCAACATTAAATCGAGCCGCATATTTTGTTACCCATTAAAAGACGTAAGAAGTGAAGGTCAAGCGTCAAGTTTCAAGACTAACGAGTCTAGACTTGCCTATATAAAGTCTATGCATAATAAGATGTTTTTCTATTTTTAATATCATTTAATTATTATAGATCAATATTTAAATAAAATAATGCATACCTGAAAATTTATAACAACTTCATACATATTTTTCAAGTTTGCAACAAACACATAATTCTCAAATTCATAAATATACCAATTTTATAAATACATTATTCGTAAACAGAGAAAACCATGTTCTTGGGTTGGATTAATGTTGGGGTGGATTTTTTGTTAGACCCTTTTTCCTTTTTAAGTTTCAATAATGACTAAACATTTTGTTGGGCTGAACTTCAAAACAAGAAAATACTATTTTCCAACCCATAGATGCACGTCTTCTCTGTCTAGGCGCGCTTTAGATTATCAATGAAGAGTTGATAGTCTTTTCTCCCGTTTAGGCATGAGGCTGGGTGTTTTCCTCATTCCCCGCATCTAAACGTGCTTAGACGGGACTTTTATAATAGTTAGGATAATACTGCATTGGATGTAGATCATTAGCTATTCTAATAACGTTGTGCTACTTTACAACGATAGAAAGAGGGAGAAGGCATAGCGGTAGATTCAGCATCAAAGATATTCAGAATTTCATCTTTAATGTTACTTTTTTAGTTCGAGATGGTAATAAATACAATTATTCTATCAATTTTGATATCAAAAATCAAGATAGTAGGAATAGAGG